CGATTTCGCAATCTGCATTGTTTATTGAATTTGTATGCGGATCAGGAGGACGAGTTGTTACAATGGCAGGGGAGGGTTTCATGCCGTTGACAGGGCAGAAGTCTAGCCTTCGTCTTTAGAAGTTTCCAATCTTATGCTGTGGAATTTAATGCTTTTATCCCTATGCGCATTTCATGAACTTTTTTTACTCCCTTTAGAGATTTATTTTTTTTAAGTTCTCTGTTCTAAGTTCATTAGCAATTCCATGGTTTGGGCCTCTGGTCTCTTTTGATGCTATAATAAGGATTTTTAGGTGAAGAATAGTGGAATGGCATAATTCTCTAGAGAAGTATTTGAGATTTGCTTAAAAAGTTGAAAAAAATCTAGTTGAACTCTACTCCTAATGACAACTAATGATAGAATTACTATTATGACGTTGCCCTCTAATCAATTTTGTAACCTCATTAGAAACTTTTGCTTGTAAAAATTTATCTCATTTAGTTTTTTTTTCAAGTATTTTTCATGAGACTCTATTGACATTCAAATGCAAGTGGAGAGTAATATCATATTAGAAGTGAAATAAAATTTGAGCTACAGTTGGCCTTTACCTAGCTATTCAAGCTTCTCAATTTATGGGTCTTTGTACGTTAGTGTGTTAGGCTCAACTTGATTCCTTAACATTTACCCCTCTAAATTTCAATAATGTCCATAATAATTTTTACTAAACTCTTGCCACCTACGAACAACTTTCCTTTCAAAATAACATGAGTTTGATTGTATGGAGTGGACTTTAGGTGCATCATGTTGATGGCTTTTTTTTCAAGCTATGTTGCACGGATATAGTTACGATGTGACATAAACACGAAACACTTCTATTATTAAAACTATAGGACATGAACATTTGTTAGACTCATCATTATAATAAAAGTTATATATATACAAAAAAAAAATAACATTATCATTCAAAAACTAAGATGCCCATAACAAGAAATGCCAACACAAGTGAACGATTGATGAACTGCTTGAGTTCTTCTGGAAGTAGATAAAACAGATGGATAAATTGAACATATATGTTTAAACTTTAAATACAAATATTTTTTTTAATTTACTTATGAAAATATACTATAAATGCTTAATAAATATTATTAATTTTTTTTAATTCACTAATTTAAGACACACATGTCCCTTTATTTTAATATTATTTAAATCGTACATGTTAGGTACGTGTCCAATACATGTCTGAAAGGTGTCGGGTGAGTGGCGTTATCCGAAAAGTGTACGACACTGCATGACTCCTTAGTTAGAAGTGTCTGGGTACATAAATTTTTGGAGTGATGATATTTTATATGGAGGGCTCATATGATAAGAGATTATTGAGATTTACATTAGAGTGAATAAAGGGTTCACATTGGAAGTGAAATGCTAGTTGATCTAATATACTACTATTGACCTTTATCTATTGGCTCTTATCCATTGGCTTGAAGTATTTAGGTAGTTGAGTATCCAATTACTAGTTCATTTGCGTTAACTTGGGTTCTTTGGTACCGTCCCTGTCAACACCTCCTAGTGCATTTCTACATATTTGGGTTGACTTGTCGTTGGTGTCCATAAATTGTATTGGGCTCAAGTGGGGACATTAGTGCTCCAACTTAACAACACCATTAATACTATTCTATGTAGTGAATTGAACAATTACCTACAAATTATCAATTGATTTTTATTATCCAAGGGAAGCACCATTTATTGTGGTGTTTAGTATGAGGAAAACTTTAGTAGGTTGATATGAAGGTGGATGGTATAGTGGAGCTTGTAAGCGTCAAAATAGACTTCGCTATGTTCTTAGGATCATATTGATAGAAATGAGTAATCTAATAACCTCTAACATGGTTATTTATTTATTTTTTTTTCCTATCCTGCTCGTTTATCAAAGCAGTTATCTCATTGCAATATAGTATGGCATCCACATTATGCATCTTTAGTCTTTTCTATACTTGAACATAGAGAATTAAATAAATGTTAGTTGACAACTACGGGATAGTCCTTTGCGAAGAACCTTTGACACTCAAGTCAGCAATTAATTTATATAAATATAACTAATTTAGTTGATTTTGTATGAATTTAAAGGGTGTTTCCTAATGTCTCATATTTATCCTATGGACGCTTATGTTGTCTTAAGTTTGAGTTAAAAAAAAATGGAGGCGCATATGGATAAAATTGATTTGTTGAGGCCGTATTTATAAATGGAGCCAATGGATATTTAGGATAATGAAAAGGTTAATGTGTGTTCAGATAAATTATAATGATTACATGCTCCTTATTGAAATCCTTATAAAATATTAGATTGACATTGTAATAGGGTTCTCTTACGGGCTTCTCAAGATTGGCAACACATGGTAGTCAGCAATATTGAGACTCCGCGACATCATTGGTCACTTCATTGATGATATGATGGCTCCGAAAAATAAAGAGAACATAGAGGAGCTTCAGCATGCAAACAACATAAAGTTTCATCCATCAAAATGACCGGAAATATTTGAATGAGTGATGATTTCTCACTCAAATCCAACAAAAAAGAATAGAATCACTCCTGAAGACAAAATACATAACTATTCCTCTTGTTGAGAGGAGTTTTCTTGACACGTCGACACAATGAAATCGATTGTGTGACCATAACTATTCCTCTTGTTGAGAGGAGCTTCTCAAACTTACACAAAGGAAATGGAAGCATGACATTGACAACTATGGTCATCACTGTGCTCCATGTTTGCAATTGAACCTTGTGGCCTGAGCACAAGCATTGCGGGCCCAACTACAGCAATGAAATTATCACATTATCCTTTCTCATATTGGTACGATGATTTCACAGAGGCGGTTATCTACCTACCTTTGTGAACCAATTTTGCCAGACATTTTGACATGTTCACGTATTGGTTTAGTCAAATAAAGCCAAATTATCCTCCAATTCCTTCTCTTGTGGGTTCCTTGTGTTTTATGTTTTGCATTAAAACTTGTTCTTGATTTGATATGGTTTTATATGAACCCTGTAGTTGTCTCCCTGTTTTTGGATCTTTGGTAAAAAGCCTAAAAATTGTTTTAGCATAAATTGTTTAAATCATAGTCTCTCATCCACAAGCTCACCCTAGCCAATAATGTTAATATTCCTCTGTGTTTTGATATGGATTATCCAAGAAACTGTTCTAAGAGGAAGTTGATTCGTGGTGTAGAATGGTTATTTTAATGGGGGCATTGATGTACATACGACCCAAATCCTATATATTTACATATCTAACACCTTAACTTTGATTTTTTATATTTATGTCACCCAAATATTCCATATCACATAAAAAATATTACTATTTTAACTTTTAAAATGTAAAATACACCTTTCCATACATAGGTAAGGTGGCATATATGTAAAAAATGAAGTTTAGGTGTTAGATATGTAAATACATAAGCATTGAGTGGTATGCATGTAAACCTTCCTATTTTAAGTTACTTCCAACAAAATGTTTGAATGGGGGACCATCAAATTTTGGCGACCATGAAACTACACTAGATGATACTTCCCTCAGGAGGAAGGAACCTCGCCAATTGCAAGTAGTCCATGGAGGGCTTGGGAGCTTCTTATAGAAGCCAGAACTTCAAGTTGTTTAGAAATAGTCCGCTCTTGATAGTTAAAAGCTGGTGCTTGATTGTTATTCTTACTGTCTCTTTTGCCGTTCTTTTTTTCTGTTTTATTTGGAGTTTTACTTACGTAGCGCACAATTCTTATATATTTACATATCTCACTTATATATTTACATATCTCTTATATATTTACATATCTCACACCTAAACTTTCATATTTACGTACATCATTTTAGTGTTTTAAACCTTTGCATGAAAATATGTATCGCTTTTACAAAATGGTAATGCTGTTATTTTTAAGAGAAACTTACTTATGTAGCACTCAATTCTTACATATTTACATATCTCACACCTAAACTTTTCTATTTACATACGTTGCACTTTGGTGCCTTAAACCTATGCATGAAAATGTGTATTTTACTTTTAAAAACCGGTGATAGTGTTATTTTTGATGTGATATTAAAAATTTGAGTGCTATGTTTGTAAATATTAAAGTTTAGGTGTGAGATATATAAATAAATACATAAGATATGCATGCTATGTAAGTAAATGCCCCTTTGTTTATGTGAAATATGATTTGTGTGTAAATATGAAGGTTTTGTTTTGAGATCTGTAACTACGTAAGAATTGTGTGATATATATGTAAATGCCCCACTTTTCTTGTTTGTTTTCCTTTGGAAAAATCCTGAATCTTTTTCACATAAAATTACATCTTAATGTACAGTATCTTCTATTTGAGGTCCTCTGTTTCGCCTTCATCTCCAAAATATTGTTTTCCTTAAGGCTTTATTGGATGAATTTTTAGAAGCACTGAGAATTACTCATTACGTGCATTTCATGTCTTCATTATTATTTCTTGAGAATTATTCTCTTTTTTTTTTTTTTTTTGCGTGTGTTTGATGGTTGATAAAGTGTTCTGTACATGTGCGTTGAGATTGGTGGAAAAGCTCCGGCCATTTGCCACAAATGGCACTCCTGTGAATATGGAAGAGAACTTTTCTCAATTGACCTTGGACGCAATAGGTTTATCCTTGTTTAATTACAATTTCGACTCGCTAACTTCTGATAGTCCGGTTATTGATGCGATTTACACTGCACTCAAAGAGGCAGAGGCTAGGTCCACTGACATTTTGCCATACTGGAAGGCAAGTTATTATTTCAACTCCTTGTTATATCCCTTCATCATAGAAGTCTTTTTCTCTTTGTTTAATTTATATCTGAAGTTTCATTATGTTTTTTTTGGGAAATTTACATACATACCAGCCAATTCCTATGTATTTAGATATCTAACACCAAAACTTTAATTTTTTCATATTTACACCTCCCTACTCCTTCATATCACATAAAAAAATATCATTATTTTAACCTTAAAAGTGAAATACACCTTTTCATGCCTGGGCAAGATGGTATATATGTGAATATTAAAGTTTAGGTGTTAAATATGTAAATGCATAAGAATTGAGTAGTATGTGTGTGAATCTCCCCTTTTTTTTTCTGTGCCTTACATTATGAGGCGTCTGAAATTAGCATAAGACATAATTTTAAGATGGTTGGCAAAGCTGATTAGTTTTCCTTTTTTTTTATCACTCCTTCAATCTTGCATCATCTTATATATAGTATAATCTTTATTTTTACATATGTAACATCTAAAATCTTTAACATCACATTAAAAATACCGCCAACATTACCTTTAAAAGTGAAATACCCCTTATCTTACCTGTAAAAGTAAAATACCCCTTATCATGCATAGATTTATGACACCAAAGAATTGTAAATGTAAATAGCAAATTTTGGGTGTTAGATATATAAATAAATAACTATTATGTGATGGGTATGTAAATTTGTCCTCTTTTTTTTTTCCTTTTTTTTTTTGTGATAGAAGTTGCTTTATTTGTTTGTTCTCTAGAAGATTGGAGACGAGCCTTTTCTACTTGGTTT